GATAGAGATAGAGAGAGAGAGAGAGAGAGAGAGAGAGAGAGAGAGAGAGAGAGAGAGAGAGAGAGAGAGACTGTGGACACGTGTGTGATGTGTGTGTGAGTCTGGTTGCGCGTGTGTGTATGTGAATTTGCCAAATTACTCGCACTGAACCTTTCACTGTTGCGTTGGTGCTGGTCGCGAGACGACAGACGCCACAGCTCCCTGTGAAAATTCACACCGGAAAGGAGGTGTGACTCATCCGGCCGCTAAACGCGGCAGGGCTCTGTGCTAAGCAGCAGGGCCCAGGCTGTATAGTGCTGAGTTAAGATGCGTCCCAATCGCCAAGAAAAGATTCGATATCACATATGCGTAATTTTGAGGTTCATAATAGAGGATCCATTTTTGAAAAGGTAGACTAACAGTCGTACCGCATTCTAGGGTACTGTTACCCCTTCCTACAATTATATTTTATCTAGAATAGGCTGTCAAGTCACTGTGGTAAAACAAAAGCTTTTTTGGGCAGTTGTACACTTGATTGTTTGGTTTACAAGTTTGATCTTGCCTTAAGAGACATTACTAAAATAAAACTGAAACGCCAAGAAGACTTGTGAGTTTGGTACTTGGAAACCTACAAACGTGCCTTTGAAAGAGGACTTCTTAAGGTGTGACATTTTGCTTCCGCTTTACCAGCCCAGTACGGGATCACACAGAGAGTACGGCCGTCATTCGCGCAACGAACATGCCAAGTTCAGTCTATGCGAGCTCTCATAGCGCCTGATAGGTAGGCAACACATTGCCCGCAGTGCATGCGTGTACTGTGGGGTGGCCGACCCCGAGTCTCGCAGGCGCTTGAGCTCCCGCATATTGCCGAATAAATCTGTGAAAAAGCAGATGGGCTTGCTGGACGATCTCTTACTCCGACTGTCTCGACTACCTCAGGGCGCCGCGCTGGCTGCCAGCCCGGGTGCACTCCTGCGTGCGGTACAAACGGCTGTTTTTATTTTTAGGAAAAAGGGAAAACTTTGAGGAAGTCTCACCGTCTAAATAAATTTACTCAGATTTTGAGGAAAACTTCTTAAAAAACGTAATCATTTTTCTCATTTATATCGATAAGATATCAGGTATCCTCAAAATCTGAGGAGTTTTTCTCGAACCATATGAGTTTTCCTTTTACCTCAAAAAATCACACACCAGCTGTTTTTATCGCACAGCACAGATCGCTGCAGTGCGAGATAGGTTGTATTAAAGCGTAGCGCCGTCACCTGGTCAATCTTAAAGAATGGTCGTTACTCGATATCTAAGCGGGTCTGGGTAACTTCCAACTGTAGCACTTTAGAGAAATTGTTTTGGATGGGCACGATTTTCGGGCTGGGGGGGTGTGTCCTGCTGAGGCCTGCGTGCGGGGCGGTGCTGGCGGGGCCAAGGAAAAGCCGCCGTGAGAACGGCAGCTGCTGAGCAAGACTTTGCTGACAAGACGCCGACCTCAGCACGCTCAGTGCATGAACAGGGCGCCTCCATTATCAGAGCGTTGTTAGGCGGCGGCGGGTCCTTCGAAAACGACTCATAATGCTACGTTACAACAGAGTTGAGATCATAAAATGTTACAGCCTGGACAGGGCGGGCCGGGTGGCGCGGGCACAGGGTGGGTCGGGGGAAGCAGAGGCACGACGTGTGAAGAGATGAGCTTACACGCCTTGTGGGGTCAGGGCATGCGCCGCTTGACCCACTTACGATCAAATCACTCGTATTTATCTTCTCGGTTATCTCCTCATTTTATTTTTTTTACAGCCTACGAAGGAAATGAATTTCATGAAGCGGCATAGCAGCATGAAGAATCTACGAGCAGAGGGCTATCTCAGTTTCGGTATGCCAGCAACACACTAGGCACGCATTGTCTCCGTACAAGTGTCGCTCAGCCGAGCACCATTATACACCAATGAGTGATCTCTCGTTGAGTGGCACCTCTCTCTCTCTCTCTCTCTCTCTCTCTCTCTCTCTATGGATTTAGGTCACTGGAGAAGTCCAAAGGGGCCGAGGAGTAATGAGGGAATGC